CAGCCAAAAAGGAAAGGCTTGACTTTCGAGGCATATCCAGTTCATAGATCAGGATTTTTATAGATCGTAACATCATTAATTTTCAATGATGCTAATTTTCTCTAAATGATATACTGCTAATAAGAATTCAGAGAGGGTGCCTGCAGAGGTTGACAAGTGAATTCTAAAATGTATATGGAAATTCAAAGAGCCCAACTTGAAGAATAAAAACACATCAGAAAGCTTATTCCACGGCAGTAGTTTCAAGTTTGGCTGCACTTTCTAGTCATCAGGGAGATGTCTAGGGACAGTGACACCTTACCTCTTACATAATTAAATCTGTACTCGTGAGAAGACATCCAGACACTGATAATCTTAAAAACATGTCAGATGTTTCAAGCGTGCAATCAAGTTTGAGAACCACGGCCCTGCAGCATATTCTTATACAGCATGCAAGATGAATGTTCAGTAATGTTGCAGATCCACATGCATTAAGACTAATAAACTGTGTAATGACCAGTCCTGTGACTAGAGAAGCAGAGAAGCCACTAGAAGAGGCCTTGGTCTGAAACACAATGTTTATGACTAAGGGACACAATACAGGCTGAGTGAAAAGAGCTTTGCAGCCAGGTATGGTGTGGAACCCCTCTAATTTTAGCACTTGAGAGCTAGAAGCAGGTGATCCCTGTGAGTTCAATGCCAGCTTGGTGCATATAGTGAATTCCTGGCCAGCCACGGATACATAGTAATACGTAATAGTAATATGCTGTCTCATTTTTTTTTGTCTTTCAATGTCCCTGCACTCATTAGCTCTCTAGATCTTAGCCCTCATTTCACACCATGTATGAAACAATCAATTTCAGGTAGAGAACTGATACAAAGGAAAGAGTAAATAATTGAACTTCAAGAGGCTAACATAATATTTTCATAATTCATGATAAAATAAAAATTTTCTTAGCAACACATAATAGAAATGTAACTGTAAATTGGGCACTCTAAGAGTAAAATTGAAAACCTCCCCTCATGAAAAGGCACTCAGAAGGAAGAAAATGAAATGCTGGGTTTCACAGGTGAGAAGATATTCACAACAGAAAACATATTAGCATATATATATATATATATATATATATATATATATATATTATCAAGTCATCAATAAAAATTTATAAACCCTAATATAAATGAGCCAGACCTAGGAACCATGTCCTAAAGAGAATATGCAAACATCACAGAATATGAAAAAAAAAAGTTCTCGATCTCATTAGATACAAGGCAGACATGAACTACAACCTGGACTCCCTGAAGAGTTCCTACCAGAAAGACTAAAATCAAGACGACCAATGACAGGAAATGTCATCAGGTGTGTTAGCAGGAACTTTCAGAGACGGGTGATGGAAATGTAGACTGAACAACTGCTTAGGACATTTTCCTTTCACCACCCACCCAGCACAATATACACACATTCAACATAGAAATTTCACTTATTTTTAATATCTTTGCGAACATGGATGAATAAGAGAATTTCATGATAAAATGCTACCAGTGACTTTAAAGTAGAAATAACCTAAAGCCCATCAGCAGTAGAATAAGTAAGTGTTGGTGTATTCATCCAGTACTATAGTATGTATACACTACT